TGTCCACTGATGTAGTCACTCCATCATAGAAGGCCACTAGGTTGGTCAGGCAAGACTTGCCCTTGGTGAAGCCATGGTGGCTGTCTCGAATCACCTCCCTGTCCTCCTTAGCATAGCTTCCAGGAGGATCTGTTCCGTGATCTTCCCAGGCACAGAGGTGAGGCTGACAGGTCAGTAGTTCCCAGGGTCCTCCTTTCTACCCTTTTTAAAAATGGGTGCAATGTTTCCCTTTTTCCAGTCACCAGTGACTTAACCTAATTCACCTAACTTGAATTATTGCCATGTAAAATCAACATTGTAGCATGAGTAAATCCATGCATAACCTGGATTAGGAACTGTCTTGCTGGCAGATCTCAGAACACACTTGTCAAAGGAAAACAACTGAAGAGAGTGTTTCAAGATGGCTTCTTGGAGATCAGTATTAAGCCCAAGGAGTCTTCATCAGTCATCTGGCAATAAAGTCAAAGTAAGCGTGATAAAATTTTGCAGATGAAACAAAAACTGGTGAAATGTTAACTCATGCTGAGGTCAGGGCAGTCATAGAAAGCAAAGCAATTGGATTGCTTGACAAGACTGGTTCCTCCTAACGTGTGCTTAAACACAATTCAGTGCAAGATCCTGTATCAGCCTTACTCAAGTAGTGTGGGGATGTAAGTCCTGGGAAAGTAAGGATTTTGAAAAGGCCCTGGATTACAGTAGATAAGCTATTCAGTACGAGCGTCTCAGTTTACAGCTGCAGAGGGAAGGATTAATTAAGTTATTGCAAGTACAAGCAGAGGAACAGGGAGTTAAAGTTTGGGGGCTAGGGAGCAAAAGAGCACAGATAGGAAGGATGTTCATCCGATGTCCACGTTATTTTCAATGTTGAAGAAAAATTTGAAGTGTGCTGGAAAAAAGAGAGAAAAATTACATTTGGGTTTGAAAAATGCATGTACTGAGGCACTTGCAGAGCACCTTATCTGAGGTTTTAAGAAAGAAAACCAGGAAGATGACTTTATTAATAAATATATCCTTGTGGACAAGACACCAAGTGCTAAATGGCTGTTTAATCTAGCAGAGGAAGGTGGGATGAGAATGGCTGCTTGAATTCTGAAGTTGCATTACCTTGAAAATAGAAACCAGGCACCTGTGCTTCAAGATCTTTTAGAGAAATTCTCAGAAGAGGCAGCAGAGCTCTCCCGTCTCTTAATGTTTTCAAATCCAGAGGGGTGGCAGCTTGAAAGCTTGCCTTCCTGAGAAGAGCTGGACCCAGTACACTGGAAGCAAAGTGAAATTGCTCAAGAATCTGCTCTCCAGGAGCTTGAGACATGATCTGATGGACTGACTGTGAGTCACTGACAGTGGCAGCAAGCGCAGGTCTGAGCAGGGGCAGATGGACTGCTGTGAACGGTGGAGGAGGCAGGAGGTGGTGGTAGTGTGAAGCGGGTGCTCGCTGCCCTCTGTGTGCCTCTCCCTCCATGAGCTGTCTCTGTCTCCTGCAGCGAACCAGCCCGGAAGGTGGGATCCACCTCAACTGCCATTACTGCCACAATCTTTTCAGTGGGAAGCCGGAGATCCTAGATTGGCAGGTGAGGACTTTCCCCAGGGGGATGCTGTGGTAGAGGCCAACCCCAGTGAGGACTGCAGGGCTTCTTCCTCTCCCTGCTCAAAGCAGAGCTCCTTCTGCGCCAGTGCTCTGACTGCCTTAGCTGCAGAGATGTGCCTGGAGACCGTGCACCGAGTGCTGCGCTCCTGATATTCAGCAGGATGTCAGAAGGGCAGGAGGAAACCACTTCTGCCAAACCCCGTGCCAGGAGAGCTGGGGACTTGGCTCAGCCCCATAGTCTTGCTCTTGCTTCCTCAAGAAGTGTGGGGACCTCCTGCCAGCCTGGCTGACCCGGTGGTGGTCTTTTTGGCAGGACAAGGTGTATCAGTTCTGCTGCAAGGACTGCTGCGAGGACTTCAAGCGGCTGCGTGGGGTGGTGTCTCAATGTGAGCACTGCAAGCAGGAGAAGCTGCTGCATGAGAAGATCCGCTTCTCTGGAGTGGAGAAGAACTTCTGCAGCGAAGGTACTTGGGGAAGGCATGGGAGAGGCAGAGCCCCCATGCCAGCCCATGCTGGGGGAGGAGAAGAGAGCATGGAGAGGAACAGAGGGGAGACTGTCTTAGCCAGGCCCTGGGGCGAGAGCCTTGCCATGCAGTGAAGGGAGGACTGTCGTGGGGATGGCTTGCTGTCCAGCCAGGCCCTAGGGCAAGATCTTTACCGTTCATTGTGTCCTTGGGGAGGGCTTTCTCACAGCTTTTCTCTCTCTGGGGGCTGGGGAGACAGCAGGTGGCAGCTCCGCTCCTCCTGTCATCATGCACTTCTACGCTCTTGCGTCTGGGCTGGCCTGACCTGGCCTTGCCCTGCCTGCTGGGTTCCTGCACACAGGAGGTTGGAGTCAGACTCTTCCTAGAAGCATGGAGGTGAGAGATGGCAAGTCCCCATGAGGTCCCATCTTATCCCAGCCCCAGGGGCCAGTGCTGGATTGTTCCCTACAGTGTGTTGCGTGTGCTCTGTTGTCTCCGCAGACCTGGATTCTGGTCATGTTTGGGTCAGGGAGGCCCCCAGTTCATCCTGGGAAGGTTTCACTCCTATTGTTTCTCCGCAGGGTGTGTGCTTCTTTACAAACAGGATTTCACCAAGAACCTGGGCCTGTGCTGCATCACCTGCACCTACTGTTCTCAGACCTGCCAGCGGGCGGTCACCGAGCAGCTGGAGGGCAGCACCTGGGACTTCTGTAGTGAAGACTGCAAAAGCAAATACTTGCTCTGGTACTTCAAGGTCAGTATTGGCACTGGCAGCTTGTGCTAAGTGCTGTGGTGGGCACGGCACCCAGATAAGTGGGCATTGCACTGAGGAAGTTCGCACTGCTGGAGTCTGGCTGGCACTGCTGCGGAGAACCTGGCACTGCTGGAGTCCTGCCTGGCAATGACGGGACACTGCTACGGGGAAGCTCACGTAGCTGGAGTCCCCAGCTGATCCTGCCAGAGCACTGCACTGAGGAAGCTCACAGTGCTGGATCCGCGGCTAGTGCTGCTGTGAGAAGTTCGCACCGCTGGAGTCCCCGGCTGGCACTGGCAGGGCACTGCTGTGGGGAAGCTCACAGCACCTTGCTATGTGCACCTTTCACTGGAGAGTTGTGTTGCACTCGGAGGGGGTGTGGTTAGTTACTCGTTGTTTCTCTCCTGCTGATGTGGGCTTTAGGCAGCTCGGTGCCATGCCTGCAAGCGTCAGGGGAAGCTGCTGGAAACCATCCACTGGCGGGGGCAAATCAAACACTTCTGCAACCAGCAGTGTCTGCTGCGATTTTACAATCAACAGAACCAGCCCAACCTGGACACGCAGAAGGGGCCGGAGAGCCTGCTGAACAGTGAGTAGGAGGGAGGGAGGGGACCTGCATAGCTCAGTCCGAGAGACACAGGGAAGACTGAACAGCGAGGGGTGGAAGCTTCCTGCCCGGGACTGGATGAGACGCTAGGGAACAATCCTGCACTGGCCCTTGGGGGGGGGAAAGGACGGAGTGGGACCTAATGGGGCTTCTCCATCTCTAACGTCTATGGTTCTATGACACACAGGGCCCAGACGGGAGGAGCCGGTGCCAGCGTGCTGCCTGTAGCTCACACTCTTAGCGAGGATACTCAGGGATTTAACAGCCTCATGTTGCCAGCGGAGAGCTCGATTTACAGGGTTAGGGGACAGCGTGGTTTGGCATGATAATCCACCTGCAGCCCCACACCACCTCCGAGCTGTGACCTTCTCAGATCTCATAAGCTAATCAGGATTGGGCCAGGTCAGTGCTTGGATGGGAAACATTCAAGGAAAACGCAGGGTGCTGCAGGAAGTGGTGCTGGTGATGCTGTAGGTGGGCTCTCCTCAGCCAGAGCTGAACCTAGAACGATCTTGAGGGAGTGCTGAGCTGCTGGAGGCACTCTGTCTTGTGATGTTAGATTGGAGTCCTACCATTTACCCAAAGATTGCTGCAGCTTTGGGGAGTTGCCAACCCCGTGTCCCGCATAACCCCATTCTGCATCTGTGGAGTTCCAGCTGGAGAGGCAATTTTCACTGCCTGTTGCCCCATTTCCTATCATTAACTTGAGCCCGTTGCTTATGGAAGATTGCAAAGTGCTTTGGGGTCCCTCAGGATGGAAGGTGCTTGTAGTGACAGTGACAAGACATTGCTTGGCCCTCGGACACTCACGTAGTCTCATTTTGCATGGTCTTTCATAGGTCACGATCTTCTAGGTAATCTGTGTGATCTAGTTAAAATGCCTGCAGCTTATGGTAGGACTCACTTTGGTGCATCAAGCTTTGACAGATACCTGCATCGCAGGCTCAGGGCTTTGCTGCCCTCCCTGGAATTTCATGAGGTGTAAAACCCTGACTAGGGTGTGCCAAGGAGGGGAAACCAAGACAAGGACCTTCCTGTGAGAGACCTCGTCCTCCATCCCCAGACTCTTCCTTGTTCCTCTCCTGACAGCAGTGGGCTGATTGCAAGATGGGGGAAGCTGAAGCCCTGCATGTCAGTGCTGCTTAGACAGCAAAGCAGAGCTGCTCTGCCAGAAGCAGCAGGTTCCACCAGCCAGGGGAGTCCCAACCTGCCCTCTAAGAGCCATGCTCCCTAAAAGGCCGTGTGAGGCAACGTCTCAAGTGTCACCACACTGGAGTGACCTGGATAAGGAACTGTTGGTTTCTGCTGGCACAGGGGTGCCCAGGGGGAGTCTGCTTGATGGGACACAGACTGTCCTACTGCTCAGGGGAGGAAGAGGTGTTAAAGTTGCTGGTTCCTGTAGCTCATCAAGTGATTCCACAGCCCTAGCCATGCTGTTCCATTTGTCCTCTGCTTTCAAGGCATCTTGCTTGTGAGGGACCAGTAACACTGCTTTTGGGACACAGGCACAGTGAGCAAGCTCTGCCTGCAGAGGGAAGCATGTTTCACACCATTTGGCCATTGTCTCCTTGGAGCCATGGACCACAAGAGTAAGAAGTACCCTCTCAACCACCAACAACCACGAGAGTCTGAGCCCCCCCCACACACACACATCTCTGGAGACCCCCAAGAACTTTGCTGTTTGGCACATGGGGCATCACCCTTCACCGTGCCACAGCTGCCTCTCCATGCACCCTGTGAGGCAGAGGAGTCTGAGGGCAGCCAAGGAAAAGCCCATCAGCAGTGGTGAGCGCTCGGCTGAGCGCAAGCTCCAGGCTGCCCCAGCAGCTGCCATGCTTGGTGAATGCTGCTGGTGGCACTGGACCCTCTGTGTGTTCCGGCACACCCATCCCCTGCCAGTTGTGGGATAGCTGTGGACATCCTTGTCCTGGGACTGTGGCATACTGCTCAGCTTGCAAAGGAAGGGTGCTGGAGCCAGGGCCTGCCATGTGCTTACACAGAGAGCTTTCCAGCCCAGCGTGCTATGCAGGGGATTTTGGGAGGAGCAGCTTGTCAGTGCATGGTGAGGAACAGCTTCTGCCTGGTCTGGCCAGGGTCTCCTGTGGACCTGGCAGCTGTGTTGCCTGCTCACAAGGGACTACCTGGATTTCAGGCCTGTCTTGGGCAGAGCTGCTGACTACTTACTGCTTCTCTTGCAGCCCGTGGTTGCCTAAAGCCATTCATTCCTGTGACCCAGTGGCTGCTGCCAACCTGGTGATCCTGAGAGTGCTTGATGATAAAAGTGGCTATTCCTTTGCTGGGAACAGTCTGTAATGAGGGATTGAGGAGCTTCTGCCACAGAACTGCCCAAAGACTTCCAAGGGGAACTGCCTCTGCACAGGGACATCCAGCTGGAGAGGATAGAGGGCCAGAAGTCACAGTTGGTGCAGGCAATGCCTTGACAGCTCCTTGCTGGTGTTGGGATGAGAGTAAAGAACAAGTTGCAGCTTTCCTGGAAGCCTGGACATGTAGCACATGGAGCTTTGTGGCAGGAGGATCTTGTTTCCCTTAGTCCTAAATCATTGGCCTGTGGGGCAATCAACTTTGCTTTTGATTCTGCTGCAGCAGAAACTCTGCTCGTACTCCATAGCTTGTCTTTTCTCATTCAAGCCATTGATGTCCCCCACCTACCTGCTGTCCATCCTCTTCGGGCTGGTCAGGGGGAGTACTTGGACCCATTGAGACCGTTGCAGATCCTATGGCTGAATGCTTAGCTGCAGACTAGGGAGTTTCCTCCAACTGGAACTTACCTGTCTGCCTGTGGTGGTCAGCAAGTGGACCCTGCTGGGCCTCCAATTGGTCAAGAGCTGTCCTGCATTTCCTCAGGACAGAGGAAATCTGCACAGTGTGAATGCCCATGTGTTGGTCCTTTGGGAGTCTGGGTCTTTCCTGGAGAGCCTATGTAGGAGGTGCAAATGGATCCACCGCTCCCTTTGGGTGCTGAGACCTGCTGCTTTCCTTGCAGGTGTCTCCTTCATGCATGGCCCACGGTTAGTCAGTGCTGTAGAAGGCAGTTCTTTTTCCCAGCCACATGGGTAACCAGGGCTCACGGGAGGCTTGGATGAAGGTGATCTTTTAGCTCATCAGCCTTTGAGATGGGTGCAGGTTCTCTGCAGAGGAAATGAGCTGGAATTATCATCCAAGCCAGGATGATACTGTCACCACCTGAGACTAGTGTCTGCCACACGCACTGTTACCTGCAGGTGATCCCCTCTTTCCTTAGGGGAATGGACTGCATCCCTAGGGCTGGGGCAAAGCGGTCTCCCTGCTTTCTGGGATATCTCGTAATGCTACTACTAGCTCTGTCACCTTCTTCCTAGGGATCTCGAAGCACTTTGCCAAGGTATTTGTAGCAGGGAGATGGAGGCACAGGGAGGGGCCATGGCTCGGTACAGCAAGCCAATAGGCAGAGCTGGGAATAGAGCCCTGGATTCTTCCCTTTACAAGGGACTGGGATTTCTCCTGACCTGCTGTGATGGGGATGGGGTGGACTGCAAGGGAGCACAAAATGACATGGAAATTACTTGATTTTGGAGTTGTAGTGTCTTCTGAGCTGCTAGGGCTAGAGATTGTGGAAACATTAACTGTTCCTGGAGTGGCCAGGAGCGGCTTCCGGGGAGCCTGTCCCTGCCCTCTGGCTGGTGCCACGTCCAGTCCCAGCAGTGGGACCTGTTGGCCCAGGAGCTCTTGAACTTAGAGTCGTTGCTTTCTCTTTCAGGTCAGACTTCAGAGCCAAAACCACCTGCCCCTTCCCCACAGAAGACAGACACTAACATGGTAAGGCCTGTTGGAGGTAGGAGTTTGCAAGGTAGCACAAAGGGGCTGTCCCCAAAGAGAGCACAGATCTGCCATTTCTCAGGGAGATTTAATTCTTCTACAACCAATGCATTTTAAGATGTCTGGGTAGTGGGAGCTGATAAGAGCTGCTGGGGAGGACAGCATCAGCATATCTCCTGCAAGGGCCAAGAATAACCATTCCCCAGGAATCGATGATGGTCTCCAGAACAGCCTGCCACTGTGGCACTGGCTCCTCTTTGCATGGTGCTCCCCTGTGCCTGCGTATAGTTGCTGTCCTACTGTGTTTACCGCTGCCCTGCGGGGCAGGAGCAACCAGCACCAGGCTCCCTGCTGGCTGCTGCAGAGATGCTGCACAGGCTTGCTGCCTGCCAGGAGCAGCTTGGCAGTCCTTCGGCCGGGTCTGACCATGGGTGTGTGTTGGGGACTGCCAGGCTCCAGGAAGTGCTTTGGGAGTCCCTCCAGCTGTACCTGTGGTTGGGAGGAGGTGGTGCTGCCTTAGGTGGACACCAACCTCCTGCTTTCTGCGTTTCCTCAGCTGTCGGCAAAGACCTCCTCAGCCCAGATGTCTCCAACCGCGCCACCTCCCCCGCCCCCTCCGGTTCCAGCCACCCCTCGGAAAAATAAAGCTGCCATGTGTAAACCACTGATGCAGAATCGGGGCGTTTCCTGCAAGGTAGAAATGAAGTCCAAAGGAAGTCAGACAGGTAGGAAAACGAGACATAACTGCAGGATTACAGGGGCGTTTTGAAAAGGCAAGTGGCACATCCCTGCTCCAGAGACTAAATGTGAATCCAGCTTGAAATGCTGTACAGAATGTCTGGGTGTTTGGCACCATGCTGAGGAGTCTCAGGGCAGTGCAGGGCACACACAGTAGGGCTGGAGGTAGGGAGCCCGTTTCCATCAGCAGCAAAAGGAGAGATGCAGAGAGCACTGCAGCATGATCCCACCTCTTGTGGGATGACTTCTGCTCCTCTGGAGATAGTCAGCTTGTCTGAGGGGCCATCTGCTGAGCAGGTTCCACTGTGTAGCTCCTGTTGGGCATGTGTGTGTGGTTTCCGGCATATGCAAGGTAACTGGACCTCTCAGCAGGGTCATGTAAGAGCAGGGCTTGCACCTCTGGCTAAGGCAAGCCAGCTCTGCTCCATGAGTCACAGAAGCTGGTGGCTGGAAGCACCGTGGTGCTGGATGGCTGGGGGCATGGCAGTGCGCAGCAGGGCTGGGTGGAGGAGCTGCTGGGAGCAAGCTCACTGACGTACTTTTGCTGTTGTCAGAGGCTGACTGGAAGCCCCAGGTGATTGTGTTGCCAATCCCCGTCCCGATCTTCGTGCCTGTGCCTATGCATATGTACTGCCAGAAAGTACCTGTGCCTTTCTCCATGCCTGTCCCGGTAAGCGACACACTCCTCCCGCTCATGTTCTCTTACTGTCTCGATCCTGCCTTGCTGCAGCCTCCCTGCTTCTCTGTTCGTCCTCTTCTCCTTCCTCTGCTTTTACGTCAGTCAGCTGAGTGTCAGTTTTCTGCCTGGTGTGCTGCTGTCGACAGGTGCCTGTGCCAATGTTCCTGCCCACCACGCTGGAGAGCACAGATAAGATTGTGGAGACCATTGAGGAGCTGAAGGTGAAAATCCCCTCCAATCCCCTGGAGGCTGACATACTGGCCATGGCCGAGATGATTGCAGAGGCTGAGGAACTGGACAAGGCCTCCTCGGACCTGTGCGGTAGGTTCTGCCATGGCTTGGTCTGGCCCAACAGCTGGGATCATGTGGGGTTTGCCGGCTCTTGGAGCTTAGAGCATCTGCCTGGATCGCAGCTCCCCCAAAGCCTTTGAAAAGGGAGCAGGAAAGTTGAGCAAGTCCTCAACTTCTGCTGAGGAGGTACCAGGAGGGAAGAGCTGCAGCAGGGAGCAGTGTCTGCCACTGTCCCTTTTGGGGCTGCCAGTCTTATGGCACATGTGCAGCACTGTTAGTTTATTCAGGTGGCTGTTCAGGCTCTTACCTAAAGCAGCTTCCCAGCCAGAAGACTAGCAGTCCTGACCTCGCAGGTCTTTTTACTTGAGGGCTGCATTCCTCAAGCCCCAGTGACTAGGGCTGTGGCAAGGACAAACGTCCGATGTCTTGCTGTCCAGGGAAAGCTGGGCAGTGCAGGTGTCATGGGGCTGCTCTGAGCACAGGACTGTGCTGCAGGGAGCCTGACTTCATTTTCCTGCTGTCACAGGGAAAACAGGCAAAAGACTTTCTTGAAAGTTGGGTTTATGATCTGCTTTTGCATTGCAGACCTGGTGAGTAACCAGAGTGCAGAGGGTCTCCTGGAGGACTGTGATCTGTTTGGACCGGCACGGGATGATGTGTTGGCTATGGCTGTCAAGATGGCAAATGTCCTCGATGAGCCGGGCCAGGACCTGGAAGCTGACTTCCCTAAGAGTAAGAGCTGGGTGAAGCAGGCATGCAGGGCTGCTCATGCTGCAGCAGGGTCCTCCTGCTGCCCTCGGCTGACCATTGCCAGCAGCATTAAGAGCTGTGTGAACTTACCTCCCCATGCCCTCTGACTGACCAGGCTTGAGGCCAGGAACTGAGAGTCTTGCAGATGACTGCTCGCAGCAGGGGTGAGGAGACCACCACTTTTGAAGGAGTGTGTGTTTGTCTAGACTAACTGACCTGTTGCGAACATAGGTCTGCAGAGAAGGGGGAATGAGAAGCTGATTTTAACAGCACAAAAAGCAGGGCAGCGGCGCTGGTGTGCTTATGGATGATGATTCCAGAGGATCCAGCAAGGCGAGAGAGACCTGGACAGGGCATGACATCCTGGGAGACTGCAGAATTGCTGAGTATCCATCAGCGGACAGAAGGTGGAAGAAGAGGCAGGGACTTGGCAGGAGCACAGCAGTGCTGAGGCAGGATGCTAGCAGCAAAGGACAGAGAATTGGGGTGCCTGTGCCAGGCTGTCCCCAGTGCTGGCCTGGCACAAGGGGATGAGGAATGTTCCTCAGGTTTAAAAAACAAACAAACAAAAAATTGTCAGAGGGGAGAATGTGGGGCTCTGGTTAGTCTGAGAAAGCTTAGCATCATTTGCCAGAGCTGTATTTCCTTTGTTGGGCTGTGGCTGAAAGTTCATGCCAGGCAGTAGTGGAAGGTATGAAGAGTTGGGCTGCGTGTTTCCTCTTCATCTTGCTGTAAGAACCAGGCCAGCACAGGGGACAGGATGAGAAGTCTCAGCTGAGCCCTTCTGCTTGTGTTTCCTTTCAGACCCTCTAGACATCAACCCCAGTGTGGACTTCCTCTTTGACTGTGGGCTGGTGGGACCTGATGATGTGTCAACAGAGCAGGATCTGCCTCGTGCTGTCCGAAAGGTGAGCTCTCTGTGGGTACTGCCTGCTTAAAGCTCTTTGGGTTTGGAGTGGGAGCTGCTGTCTGGGATGCACAAGGTGAAGTGTGCCAGAGGCTTTGGTGTGCTGGGGAGGTTGTGCCCTTTCCCTTCAGGGCATGCCTGGCCTGTGGGCCACTCCTTGAATGAAAGTACTTGCCTGTCACTTTGGAGAAGCTTTGAATGCCACAGGTCATGTGAGAGCTGGCCTCTTTCCTGCCTGTGGTCCTCATAATTAATGGGCCTTGTTGGCTTTGCTGTCAGCAGAAGGATGCCTGCTGGCATTGGTAGAGGCACACTGGGAGGGAGCTGGCGGTCAGCAGGTCTGAGGGGTGGCCAGGACTCTTGCATCTGTCCCAGGTAGGTGCCCAGTCTCACAGTACACCTCTCTGCAGGGGCAGAAGCGTCTGGTGCTCTCTGAAAGCTGTTCCCGAGACTCAATGAGCAGCCAGCCCAGCTGCACAGTGCTGAACTACTCATACGGTGTGAATGCCTGGAAGTCCTGGGTGCAAGCCAAGTATGCAGGGGGAGAGACCAGCAAGGGAGAGGAGCTACGCTTTGGCCGTAAGTGCCCTGTCTGGATGGGGCGGAGTGGCAGAAACCTCCCAGAAGCTGTGTCCCAGAGTGCTGAAGTGCTCTTGGCCTTGCAGGCTATTGTCTGAGGCTGCTGTGCTTGTCTCCACAGCCAAGCCCATGAGGATAAAGGAAGACATCTTGGCCTGCACAGCAGCTGAGCTCAACTACGGCCTGGCCCAGTTTGTCAAGGAGATAACACGGCCCAATGGGGAGCGCTACGAACCGGACAGCATCTATTACCTCTGCCTTGGCATCCAGCAGGTGAGGGAGGGCTTGCTGCCCTCAAGTCCTCCACAGCCAAACCTGGGGGTCAGATCTGGTGAGGGGAGCTTGTACCCTTTATTCTGCCTTCTGGGGACCCAGAGAGGCTCACTGGACTCTCCTTTAGTGCCTCATCCCAGGACAGTAGCCCACCTGGTTTGGTGTTTGTTCCCAAGCCCAGCGGGTAGGGTGGCAGCTATTCCCCAGCCTTGCACCCTCCTTGCACATCCTTTTGGAGGGCTGGTGGAGGGCTGGGAGATCTCCCCAGACTGAGTCCCTTCTTCAGCACCAAGTCTGCTTTATCGCGCCCGGGGGTTTTCCTCACAACTCTCAGAAGTGGCTGGTTTTAGGAGTCTGCCCTGCAGCTCTGGTTGTACAAGGAGGGGCACTCTGCATGTGTGCCCTGGGCTCTCTGGGGAGGGTTTGCATTCCAAGTGCTGCTGTGTCTCTCTTGACTGTGTGTTCTGTCCTTTCTAGTACCTGCTTGAGAACAATCGTATGGTGAATATATTTACAGACCTTTACTACCTGACCTTCGTGCAGGAGCTGAACAAATCCCTGAGCGGCTGGCAACCCACAATCTTACCAAATAGTATGTGTCTCCAGATTACCTTCAGTCACCACCCATACCCAGTTTGTGCTTCTAGCCTTGGATCCCCCGGTCTGATTGTGCTCCTCCAGCCTCAACCCTCTTCCTTGGCATAGGCAGCACAGTCCCGCTGTGTCTTGGGGTCATACTGACCCATACCAGCAGCAGAGCCAGCCTGGTTTACACTTCAGCAGCTTCTGTTGTCCAGAGTCAGGGTAGCTGGGAGCAGAGCATGGCTGCTTTGTGTCCTGGGACAGTTTGAATCTTTACAACACTTCACAGTGATGTCGCCACCCTTTGGCAAAGAGGATTCCAAGTCAGGAGGCACGGTGGCCCATGCCTTTGTGTTCCCAGCACATCGGCGAGCTCTGCACACTGTGCTAAGTGTTGGCCTGGGTTGCTGTGCTGCTGCCTTGTGAGTGGACTAACTTAGAGCTCTGCAGAAGCTATTCATGATATTGTGATCTGGGCTGCCTTCCCTGCTGTGCCTTGTAAGTGGTTAGTTCACAGATCCAGCCTCACCTCTGCATACTGGCTGTCCCAGGCAGAGGTATTTGGCTCCAGACTTGTGCGTCTGGGCAGGAGCTAGTCGTGTCTGTCCTGCCTGCTGTATTTCCTTCATCTCACACTGACTGTGGTGGAGCACTGACCTGGAGTTTACTTTGTGGCCATCTATAGGGATGAGCAGTTAGGATTGATTTGGGTTCTGGCCTGTGGTTTAGCTGGGGTGGCTCATGGCTGGGCAGAGCCAGCATCTAGCTCTGCTGATGGCTCTGGAGAAGTAACCTCATGGAAAAGGAGATGTTGTGAAGCGTCAGTCTTTTGCAGTGAGCTTGCCTGGGCAGGGTGAAGGGATTGCCACAAGGCCACTGTTGATGTGACCTGGTTCTTCCTCTGTGCGTTGCAGACACAGTTTTCTCACGTGTCGAGGAGGAGCACCTCTGGGAGTGCAAGCAGCTGGGCGTTTACTCACCCTTCGTGCTCCTCAACACCCTCATGTTTTTCAACACCAAGTTCTTTGGGCTGCAGACAGCGGAGGAGCACATGCAGCTCTCCTTCACCAACGTGGTGCGCCAGTCCCGCAAGTGCACCACAGCCCGTGGCATGACAAAGGTGGTGAGCATCCGCTACTACGCTCCTGCCAAGCAGAAGAAAGGCCGAGGTAGGGTCTGACGGAGCATCTCTCTGTCCCTGCCCCTGCCTCCCCCATTGGGTCCCAGCAGTGATCCTGCTCTCTCCCCTTCTGCAGATGGCGGCTCTGGAAAGCGGAAGCGCGAGGAGGAGGTACCGATGCTGGAGCAGCGGGAGAACAGGATGAACCCACTCCGATGCCCAGTCAAGTTCTATGAGTTTTACCTCTCCAAATGGTGAGGCTTTCTCTGGAGAAGGGGCATGTGCCATTTTGGGGCCACCTCTCAGTTTTGGTGGGACCCTGTGGAGTGGCTGCTGCTCTTCAAACACTTGTACTTGAGTGTGAAGCCTTGCCCAGTGTCTGCGCTGCTTGTATAGACCATGGTTGAGGGAATGCTTCTCTCTGGCCCCTTCCACTACTTGCCTTTCTTCAGGCAGGCAGGAGTGTGCAGTATGAGTCCTGGTGCTTGGCTGGTTAGGGGCTTTGGTCCTGAGCAAGGAGCTGCAGACTCGGTTTGTGTCCTCGTCCTGCCAAAGGATGAGAGGCTGTGACAAGCCTTGAGCCCCCCTTGGTAACCATGAGGGCAGGCCAGGCTTTCTGAGTCCCTGGAGCTGATATCCTCACCTTTCTCTGTCTTTACAGTCCCGAGAGTCTGCGAAACCGCAACGATGTCTTCTACCTGCAGCCCGAACGGTCGTGCATCGCCGAGTCCCCGCTCTGGTACTCGGTCATCCCCATGGACCGGAGCATGCTAGAGAGCATGCTGAACCGCATCCTGGCTGTGAGGGAGATCTACGAGGAGCACAGTCGGCTCAGCGGCCTGGAGGACGACATGGACTAAGAGCGAGGTGCTGCCGGGCTGGCTGCACTCCAGCCCTGTACACCTCGTCTCCCTGCCTCCTGCTGCAGGGCAGGGGCCATGCAGTGCAGGAAGGGATGGTGCTGCGGTAGCGCTGTCCCTTCATCGTTACTGGACTTGAACATCCCATCCTGCTTGTTACAGGCCTCTCCTATGTACGTGGCCCCTGCGCTCAGCCCTGCCTCCTGTCCTGGCTGCTGGGTGAGCCGTCTTCCCCGGGGCCAGTCCACACAGCACAGGGGTGGCAGAGCCCCCAGGGCAGCTCCCCTTGGAAGGGATGGTGCTGCGGTAGCGCTGTCCCTTCATCGTTACTGGACTTGAACATCCCATCCTGCTTGTTACAGGCCTCTCCTATGTACGTGGCCCCTGCGCTCAGCCCTGCCTCCTGTCCTGGCTGCTGGGTGAGCCGTCTTCCCCGGGGCCAGTCCACACAGCACAGGGGTGGCAGAGCCCCCAGGGCAGCTCCCCTTGCCCGCCCCCGCCCCCCGCCTACCCCCAGCCCTGACACTATCCCCTCTCCCCTGGGCAGAAGGCAGAAG